GAATAGGACTTTCTCGAAAAACTCAAAATACACCATGACGTCATCGAAATTTCGACACGTGATCGTCTTTTCTAGTATGAAAAATTTTCCCATTGGTCCAAATATCTGGGTCCCATGACGTCACGACCCACGTGATTTTTGTCCTATCTTTTAACACTGGGCCATATTCTTTAACACTGAAAGCCTATTCTTTAGCACTGGAAGTATATTCCTCAACACTGGGGACGTCATCGCGTTACACCAACGGGAAAGCGGTATACGATGACGCAACCATTTTCCAACATCAGTACCGGTTCACTGACGCGTTTGGCGTAACAACAACCGCAATGCATTAAAAATAGGAAAAATGGTGTAACAATAACACTCCACTTAGTTGACGCAAACTCGAAAATTTTTTGCGTCCGGGCTCGAACGCGAACGTCCGGAAACATATCTCGAAGTCATCGCATTACACAAATGGGAAAGCGGTATACGATGACGTCACCATTTTGCCCAGTATCTGTACCGGTTCTCTGACGCGTTTGGCGTTTACAACAACCGCAATGCATTAAGAATAGGAAAAGTGGTGTAACAATAAAACTCCACTTAGTTGACGCAAACTCGAAATTTTTTTGCGTCCTAGCTCGAACGCGAACGTCCGGAAACATATCTCGACGTCATCGCGTTACACCAATGGGAAAGCGGTATACGATGACGTCACCATTTTGCCCAGCATCTGTACCGGTTCTCTGACGCGTTTGGCGTTTACAACAACCGCAATGCATTAAGAATAGGAAAAGTGGTGTAACAATAACACTCCACTTAGTTGACGCATACTCAAAAATTTTTTGCGTCCGAGCTCGAACGCGAACGTCCGGAAACATATCTCGACGTCATCGTGTTACACCAATGGGAAAGTGGTGCACGATGACGCAACCATTTCCCAGCAGCACCTAGCGCTATATAAGCATAAAAGCATAGTTAGCTTCAATATCCTACGAAAAAATATAATATAATCCACAAACTATCCTTCGAAAAACACAAGCTGCTAGGCTCATTAATATTCATGAGCATTTTGAAATGGCGTTTATAAAGCGTGTGGGGGTGATCGGCAAATGTTAAATGCGTTGTGTTGTAGTAGTTTAATATCTCTTCACGTAGCATCCGTGAAAAAATTGTTTTTCGTTATTCTTAATTCGAAATTTAATGACATTTTTCATGGCAGAATGTACGAGGGAATATAAGCAAGGAAAAGTAGCTTCTCTGCTCAGCCAACGAGCGACGGCTGACACTGGCACGGGAGGACCTGTGCTGGGACGTGAGATAAAGACATAGGAGCAGACTCAAGAGGGCGATTTAACTCGAGCGGATTAACACGAGGTCTGGTGACGTCATCGTTGTTAACTCGTGAGGGCGTTATAACTCGAGCGGATGCTATAAAAGCTGTAAACACGTGTCTGTGTCTTTTTTTCACCACTTACAACATAATATACATTACAGACGATCTGTGGTACGATGACGTCTTCTGTGCAACTCGAGCGGATGTATTATAAGCCGTAAACACGTGTCTGTGTCTTTTCTTTGTCACCACTTACAACATAATACACATTACAATCAATTGGGGTACGATGACGTCTTCTTGAGCGAAACTGGAGCGGATGTAATAAAAGCTTTAAACTCGTGTCTGTGTCTTTTCTTTCTCATCACTTACAACATAATACACATAACAAGCAATTGGGGTACGATGACGTCTTCTGTTCAACTCGAGCGGATGCAATAAAAGCCGTAAACACGTGTCTGTGTCTTTTCTTTGTCACCACTTACAACATAATACTACATTACAGGCGATCTGTGGTACGTGACGTCTTCTGTGCAACTAGAGCGAAACTGGAGCGGATGTAATAAAAGCCGTAAATACGTGTCTGTGTCTTTTCTTTGTCATCACTTACAACATAATACACATTACAGGCAATTTGGGGTACTTGAACCAACACAGCACCCATGACGTTATCGGTGCCGATCGGCCGAAAGCGCTGACAGCCGAAGACCATGTGTCAGTGTCATAAGAGCGAATGCCATTACAGTCGGTGTATGCATTTATTTTTTCTTAACCGAATATTGCCCCAACAGGTACTTGACCCTTGACGTCATCGTTGCCAGTCGAGCTGATGCACGATGTCGTCATGAAATATGTATCGTTTTACACATGACGTCATCTGTGTGCAGGAGACTCCTACATAAGCGCAGACGAGGATCCACCATCGTCATTCAAGTTTCAAGAGGAGCAATCGTTTACCAATTCGCGATACCCCGTCCCAGTACATCCCCGAGTCGCAGTGCCGGTAAGTTTTCGATCATCCCTCGTCCTTAGATTCGTTCGTTCCCGAACGCGCAGCTTCGATGCCGCACGGGGTGACGGGTTACTGCCGATGGTAAGACAGGTACTGCTATTCCGTTGAATACTTCCTGCGGTCGGATCTGAACTAGCTCGGGGCAAACGTCACCTCGGCGTCGTGGTCTGTCGTTGGGAGCCGAGCGAGGGGGGAGCACCGATGCAGCATTCGGTGCCTCTCGACTTGGGAAGGTCTCGCCGGATGATGTCTCTGATCCCCTAATACCTTCGCGGAAGGCGTCCTGTTTGCGTACGGGACTTTTCGAGAAGGCGGTGTCTCGTTTGCATTCGGGACTTTTCGAGAAGGCGGTGTCTCGTTTGCGTTCGGGACTTTTCGAGATGGCGGTGTCTCGTTTGCGTTCGGGACTTTTCTAGAAGGCGGTGTCTCGTTTGCGTTCGGGACTTTCGATAAGACGGCGTCCTGTTGGCGTACAGGACTTTCGAGATGGAAGAGTCACGTTTGCGTACGGGACTTTCGATAAGACGGCGTCCTGTTTGCGTATAGGACTTTCGATTAGGCGGTACAATTTCGACTTCGATGCCACCAACGGATAACGGAATACTGCCGATTGTTAGACAGGTACTGCTATTCCGTGGAATACTGCCTGCGGTCGGATCTGAATCAGCC